TTACAACATAATATGTAGCATATTTTTATAGGTTACATTTACATTATGTTATATTCTGTTACGGTACATTACGATATTATGGTAAATTCGAGTGGGCTATGTAGTATCCTGTTGCTTGTATCTTTGTTTCTGTGATTTTTTCATATTCTTTCTCTTTCGTATTTTCCAACTTTGCTTTTTTATTATGGACTTCTTTCTTTCTTTCGCTCGTTCATTTCTTTTCTTTCTTTCTGTTGTTCTTTCTTTGTTCATCTCATACTCCCTTCCTTTCTTTCTTGCTTTCCTTTCTGGTTTGATTTATTTCGTTCTTTCTTTGGTTCGTTCTTTCTTTCGTTCTTGCTTTCGTTCTTTCTTTCGTTTTGCTTTCGTTCTTTCGTTCTCTCTCTCGTTCTATCTTTCTTTCTTTCTGTTTTCCTTGTTTTCGTCCTCTTTAGATACAGCAATTTTTGAATTTTTCCCAGGGGAAACACTGTTTTCATACGGATTCGTTTTCATTTCCTGAGGATTTGCTTGGTTTTTGGTTCGGGAAAACACGATTTTCCTACGGATTCCGTGGTATTTCCTTAAGTTTCTTTCTTTAGTTCTTGCTTTCGTTCTTCCTCTTGTTTTTGCTTTCGTTCTTTCGTTCTCTCTCTCGTTTTTTCTTTCTTTCTGTCTTTCTTTCTTGCTTTTTAGATACAGCAATTCTTGAATTTTTCCAAGGGAAAACACTGCTTTCCTAGGGATTTTCTTTCGTTTCCTAAGGATTTGCTTGGTTTTTCCTGGGGAAAACACGATTTTCCTACGGATTCCGTGGTATTTCTCTAAGTTGTCAACTCTCTTTGGTTCTTTCCTTGTGTTTTCTTTTTTCTTTCCTTGTAGCTTTCTTTCTTTACTTAGTTCTCTATTTTTGCTTTCTTTCTTTACTTATAGCTTTCTTTATTTACTTATTTCTCTGTTTCTTGCATGGCTTTCTTTCTTTCTTTCGTTGTTTATTTCTTTTTTTTGTTCTTTCTTTCTTTCGTTGTTTCTTTCGTTCTTTCTTTTGTTATTTCTTTCTTTCGTTGTTTCTTTATTTCTTTATTTCGTTCTTTCTTTCGTTATTTCTTTCTTCCTTGCTTTCTTTCTTCCTTTCTTTCTTTCGTTCTTTCTTTCTTTCCTTCTCTCTCTCTCTCTCTGTCTTTCGTTCCTTTTTCCCCTTCCTTTCGCGGATACCCGTTTAATTTTCTTTTATCCTTATTTAATTTTTTTTGATCCTTATTTAATTTTTTTTTAACCCCTATCCCGCTTTACTGACCTAAATTCGCCTCGGCTCGGCTTAGGGTTGAGGGCGTGACTTAAGGACTGATTTATGAAGCTCTCTATGCCGAAGCAAAAAGCCAAGAAGCCGAAAAGCCAAGAAGCCAGAAGCCAAGAAGCCAGGGAGAATCAAAGCAACCCTGCACGGCTTAAAACAGCGGGGGGGTTGGGGGGGGCGCAGCCCCCCCCATTTGCAGAGACAACGTTCACATGATGGGCCGAAAACACTCTTTGAATCAAGCTTGCACGTCTCGAAAAGCGCGGCGGCGGGTGTTTTGTTCTTCCGTGCCTGTTCGTGTCTCTTCTTCCGCTAGCATTCTAACCTAATATATATAACATAGTAAACCAGAAGAACGACATAAGATGGTTCGACAACACAAAAATGGTGTGACATTTTCTGACATAACAGAACCTTGCTTCTTATAGCATATAATAGCATACTAAAAAAACAATACAATATAACAGAAGATGACATAGAACAAAACAACATCTTAGTTTATAGTGTAGTACATTGTAACATAGTACAGTACAGTGTGTATATTTACAACATAATATGTAGCATATTTTATAGGTTACATTTACATTATGTTATATTCTGTTACGGTACATTACGATATTATGGTAAATTCGAGTGGGCTATGTAGTATCCTGTTGCTTGTATCTTTGTTTCTGTGATTTTTTCATATTCTTTCTCTTTCGTATTTTCCAACTTTGCTTTTTTATTATGGACTTCTTTCTTTCTTTCGCTCGTTCATTTCTTTTCTTTCTTTCTGTTGTTCTTTCTTTGTTCATCTCATACTCCCTTCCTTTCTTTCTTGCTTTCCTTTCTGGTTTGATTTATTTCGTTCTTTCTTTGGTTCGTTCTTTCTTTCGTTCTTGCTTTCGTTCTTTCTTTCGTTTTTGCTTTCGTTCTTTCGTTCTCTCTCTCGTTCTATCTTTCTTTCTTTCTGTTTTCCTTGTTTTCGTCCTCTTTAGATACAGCAATTTTTGAATTTTTCCCAGGGGAAACACTGTTTTCATACGGATTCGTTTTCATTTCCTGAGGATTTGCTTGGTTTTTGGTTCGGGAAAACACGATTTTCCTACGGATTCCGTGGTATTTCCTTAAGTTTCTTTCTTTAGTTCTTGCTTTCGTTCTTCCTCTTGTTTTTGCTTTCGTTCTTTCGTTCTCTCTCTCGTTTTTTCTTTCTTTCTGTCTTTCTTTCTTGCTTTTTAGATACAGCAATTCTTGAATTTTTCCAAGGGAAAACACTGCTTTCCTAGGGATTTTCTTTCGTTTCCTAAGGATTTGCTTGGTTTTTCCTGGGGAAAACACGATTTTCCTACGGATTCCGTGGTATTTCTCTAAGTTGTCAACTCTCTTTGGTTCTTTCCTTGTGTTTTCTTTTTTCTTTCCTTGTAGCTTTCTTTCTTTACTTAGTTCTCTATTTTTGTTTTCTTTCTTTACTTATAGCTTTCTTTATTTACTTATTTCTCTGTTTCTTGCATGGCTTTCTTTCTTTCTTTCGTTCTTTCTTTCTTTCTTTTGTTCTTTCTTTCTTTCGTTGTTTCTTTATTTCTTTATTTCGTTCTTTCTTTCGTTCTTTCTTTCTTTCTTCCTTGCTTTCTTTCTTCCTTTCTTTCTTTCGTTCTTTCTTTCTTTCCTTCTCTCTCTCTCTCTGTCTTTCGTTCCTTTTTCCCCTTCCTTTCGCGGATACCCGTTTAATTTTTTTTATCCTTATTTAATTTTTTTTGATCCTTATTTAATTTTTTTTAACCCCTATCCCGCTTTACTGACCTAAATTCGCCTCGGCTCGGCTTAGGGTTGAGGGCGTGACTTAAGGACTGATTTATGAGGCTCTCTATGCCGAAGAAAAAAGCCAAGAAGCCGAAAAGCCAAGAAGCCAGAAGCCAAGAAGCCAGGGAAGCCGAGAAGCCAAGCCAAGCGCGCACACAAGCCAAAAAAAAAAAAATGCCCAAAAAAAAAAAAAAAAATCCCAAAATAAATACACCTCCTTTTAGTTTCAGGTTCAGATAGACATCAATGCAAAAAGAAACCTTCAATGCAGCGGCCCATATCTGCCCAGAAGACAGCACGCAACAGATGAAAAGGCAGCAGGGACGACATTAAACTCTAAACCCTACTAGAAATCACGAAAACCCTAAAACCCAAGACCTAAACCCAAAGCCAGGGGGGGGTAGAAGCTGGGGATGGCTTTAGGGCTCGAGTCTTTCAGCTGTGAGCTTGGAGTGGGATGGATGGTGTAGACTTTCCGGTCCGGTAGTACTGGGTTTAAGGTTTAAGGTTGGCTCTTAGTCTAGGTTAGCCGATACAGGTTTCCCTCTCAGTGACGCGTGCTCGCTTATGTTTCGGATCTTTAACGGTATCGCGGTTTATTATACTCTGATTTGATTATGGACTGCAAGGGATGGCAGTACTAATCGTTCGACCCCTGCGAAGCCCCACGTTCAGTGCACCAGCCGAAGGGGCTGAAGAAAAGCTTATAAACCCTAAAAGGCCTGCGGCAGGGCTTGAACTGCAGGTGTTGCACATGTTGTTTATCCCTTCTTGTCCCATCTGCTAGCTCAGGAATGCCAGGTTGGCTGAAGGAGTTAGTTTAGGGCTTAGGGTTTGCGGCGCGGACAAGGTTCCCTTTCGAAGGTTCCCAGAGAGCCCAATACCCCTTAATTAAGGAATATGGCTTAAATCACAATATGAACCCCTATATAATTTAAGCCATATTCCTTAATTAAGGGGTATTGGGCAGAGACTTGGTGTTTTCGGCAATATACTAGACCTAAGAGTAGCCTAGGAATAAAAAGGTTGCGCTTTTTGATTTAAAGGGGATAAGGGAACCGAAAACTCTAGAAAAGGGAATAAGGGCCTACTCTGGGTCCTAGTATAGGGGCCTTAATAATTAGAATGGGGTTCTGGGGCCCGTTACACGAAAACTAGACTAAGCAACCCCCAAAAATGGTATTGGGACTTCTTTACGCCCCTATATTAGGGGAGCCTTGTTTGTGGAGAGTTGCGAACGGCACATGTCTTGCTTTCCTTCGAAGGGAGCAGAGGGTTCCGCGTTTCTGACAAGTTTAAGGGGAGAGAAGTTCCCAGAGACTCGACTACCCCTTAATTAAGGAATAATCCTTAAATCATATTAAGGATCCTACTATAATTTAAGGTATATTCCTTAATTAAGGGGTATTGGAGTCTCTGGGTTAGGATGAAGGTAGCTTCGAGGTGGGACATCCCCAGACACCCACAGCCCTAGCCCTAGATCCTAAAAGCCGCCGACCCCTTAATCCTCAAAACCCAAACCGGTTTAGGGTTCAGGGTTTAGGGTTTCGGGTTTAGGGTTTAGCCCGACAAGCCCAACATATCCGCGACAGCGTGCTGCTTCCGAAAGCCTGCAACTCGAATTAGAAGCAGCCCCGAACCCGACCCCCAACCCTAAAGATCTAGCCTCAACCCTAAACCCGACCCTCAACCATAACCTTGTAGGTCGAAGACTAGATGGGCCAGAAAGCCACGCTTGACCCGGTTACCCTTTACCCACAAGCCCTGCCTCACCCCTAAACTCTACTGAACTTAGAACCCTAGCAGAAATTATAGTTTTTGCTGTTTCTTCGGGATTATAATAACCAAAAATTAAAAATGATTTCTAAATACCCCCAAGTAAACCCATGAACCCCGAACTCTCAGAGTTGAGCGAAGAATGACGGTCCCGGCAGTTCAAGGAAAATCATGTGAAACCCAATCCTGGAACTGGAGAGCTCTGCAAAAAGATGCCCAAAGAAGGCGGGAATTCAGCATGGGCCTCTTCCATCTCGGTCATCTCCAGCCCCTCTGACCCCCTCCCAGGCGGCCGACGAGCCGTTTTCTGCAGCAAGCGCTCGGAAAAACCCAGAGTGCTGACAGCGGCAGTCAGCGTGGTGCTAAGCAGCAGCATCGTGCGCCCAGCCATGGAGGTGCCGAAGGCGTGCCAAAGCTGGAAAGCACAGCTAGTGGCCAATGCAAATCGCAAATAGGAGTGCGACAGTGCAGCCCCTCTGTTGGCTGCATTCGTGGGCAGCCGGACGCCAAAGCTGAGGCCTATCTCAAAGAGCATCGCATTGCTTAAGAACGCAGCCACCACACTAAAGCTGACCAATGGAACCAGCGGACCCCAAATGATGGCTGTTTCCAGTAGGGTGGTGAAATAGGCATGCTGCTGCATCGAGTCCAGGGATCTACTGGTCTTGGGGCCCCAGCCGAGCAACCGAAGATGTCGGCCAGCTTCGTCCGGGGGCCGCTCGTCCTCCAGCTTGGATGCTCGCCAAGCCAAAACCATCGCAAAGGGCTGTGCAGCAATCCGAATCAACAGCTTTTGGAGGATGAGAGGCGATAGACCTTCGATAACAGACCTGCTGCAACGGCCTTCCCAAAAGTTCTCAGAATCTGCGCTGCACATGTCTGTCGTGGTATTCAGGATCGAAGTCGATATGTCTGCTACTGGTAGATGCCAATTGAAGGCTGCATGCATCTCAGATTCTGCATCGCAGGCTGGCCACCACAGTTTCCACCCTGCCAAGCAGTTTTCTTGCAGAGCGACTGCCGCGAGCAGCGGGAGGAGCCACGCTGCACACAACCTCAGCGCCATGAGAAGTCTGTCCGCCTTGATCCCAGACAAACCTGCCAGGGTCCGGCTGGGTTCCCAGAGACTCCTACTCTCTCTCTCTCTCTCTCTCTCTCTCTCTCTCTCTCTATATATACATATATATATATATATATATATTATGGATATAGATATAATAAATGTATACTATACCTGCAACTGCAGAAGGAACCTCCCTGTGATTCAAGCTCTGGAAATCCGAGTCATCGGCTTTGGAGTGGGAAAATGCGGGAGTTTCCAAGAATTCGGGGTACCTTTGGGGTCCTGAGAATAAGGATCCCTAAACCCTAAACCCTAAACCCTAAACCCTAAACCGTCTAGTTCGAGAACTATAATAAGGTCCCCCGATTTTCGGAAACTCCTACTTGGGGCGAGATGCGGTTCACTCTTTACCCAGGAGAGAGGGGGGAAAACCTGTGTTTGCAATTCCCTCCACGTTGAACCAGATATTCAGAAACAGTATCGAGGTTGTGTGTGGATCCATTGTACAGGACGTGCAAGTATCCGCCCTACCGTGGATGATAAATCCTGCATTACCTCAAGGAGCCTAAACTATGGGAATTGTGGCATATTCCTTATTATGGGTCATGCAGGATTAATATCATCAACCGTAGTTCCAAGAGCCGGCTGCACCTGCATACTTGAGGGAGAGCCGGGCTGCGAGCACCTCGTCGCTGAAAACGATCAGTGCAGGGGCCGCGCGGTGCGCGATCTTGAGGATGGAGTCTGCCACCAGGGTGTTGTCCTTCGGAAGGGCCTCCCAGACCACGGCGGCTGCCCAAAAGGCACATAAGACTCACCGACACCAGACAGTATCACCTTGAGCCTGGAATGAACCCAGAAACGCCACCTCCCGAAAGCTTTAACTTTGTTGGCTGTTTCTGAAATTTCCCTAATGATCAGTTGCAGCACATCTAGCGAACGAATCTTCCACAAAGCACAGCTCAGGAATGAAGGGCCTGTGCCACAGAATACAGGATGGATGGCAGTGAGATCATCGTGACTGGTACGATCCAGAAAAGCCACGCAAGCTTGCGTCTGAGCTGCGATGACCCTTCTGGCGGCTCTCCAACGTCTTCACCTCGCTGGCGGCAAAGCTAAGCTGCTGAGGATACACAACGTCTTTAAGCCCGTATCTTTAAGCCCCTAAACCCTAAACCCTAATTCTTGAGCATGACGCTCACATGAACTTGCCGAAGGGGCCCCAGGAAAGAACAGCTCGTTTTGACAGCTGGCCACTGGAGGGTAGAGCAACGATGCACTTTACAGCAAGAGTGTGCTGGCTTCAAAAGTCACTGGCTTCGCAGAAACAGAGCCATTCCCAAGGGAGGGACGGGAGGGAGAAACATTTAAGAGCATGGCGGCGCCCCACAAAGAGGAGCTGAAATAATGATTGGGCCACATGCCAATCCGGACGACATGCAGCTGCGCATTCAAGTGTCCTGCCTACGAGTTTTCACAGGCAGACAACTCTCCTGCAGGCACGCTCTGTCAAGAATCTCCCCTTCATTCTTGAGCATGACGCTCACATGAACTTGCCGAAGGGGCCCCAGGAAAGAACAGCTCGTTTTGACAGCTGGCCACTGGAGGGTAGAGCAACGATGCACTTTACAGCAAGAGTGTGCTGGCTTCAAAAGTCACTGGCTTCGCAGAAACAGAGCCATTCCCACTCTCCCGCACTGGCATCGAGGAAAAACCCTCGTAGCCGCACGTCAGGCCGTAGTGCCATGAATTTAGAATGCAGGACAGGCATGCTCAGCGTGCCTTTTCAGAAGGGTCAACAAATGCGAATGGGCACAGATCGCAGCCCACACTTTATGCAAGACAGCTCCCGGCTCTGCCCATAGCCAGTCGACAAGCCTGAGGCTCAGAGTAGCCCCCTGCTTTCGCAACGAGCCCGGTCTGCAAGAAAAAAGGCGGCAGTGAAGCCCGCTGTCAACCGTCGTAACAGTAAAAAGGTGAGCTGCACTCCAATGCCCAACGTCTTTCAGCTTCGGCAGCGTCGTGCTTTCCAAGCCACAAACCCTCGCGAGGGAGCATCTGCAGGGTTAGCTTCCGACGGCACGTACACCAACCTGGGTAGCAGATCGCAAGCCAGTGTGTACGCTGCAATGCTGCGGAGGACGCGCCGCAACGCCTTGGCAGAGCTCCGTCCTTTGGAGATGGATCCTATGGCAGTTTTGGCATCGACCAGGATGACTGGCCGAGCATGATGCCGCTTCGCGCTCTTTCCAACCCACTTCAGCGTCAAGAGAACCCCATGGCATTCCAAGAGGCCGGAATGAGCAGGCCATTTCGCTTTGCTGGCGATGAGGACCTTGAAGTCAGATTTTCGGTAAGGCAGGCGATGTAAGTTCCCGATCCGTGGCACTTCAGGCTCGTCATGGTCTCCAGGGATCAGCCTTACATAATCACCTCGCCGTTCAGCTAAACGCCCCACTTCCCTGGTGACCTTCCTACCGCACCGCAGAGAGGTCACACCAAAACCAAACTCTGGCGCGGCATCACAAGCCAACAGTTCCTCGAGGTACGGCCTGTCAAGGCCGGCAGGCAGTAAAGGTGCCAGCGCCAGCGCTGTCAGCAGCTCGTTCTGTACCGCCGTGGGCAAGCGCTTGTTCGCAGCACTGTCAGTGTTTACAAACCCATACGTAGCATCAAACAAGCTGAACATGCTACGTTGCAGTAAGCAAAACCACTGAAAAACGCCAAGCAACTTGCGAAGGGCCTTGGGACTGGCCCTGCCTCGCTGCAAAACGTCCAACAGTCCCAGCACCGCTTTGCCAAGCTTGCCAGCTGCAGGCTGGACCAGTGGAGGCTTACTGCTTATGTCACAACCAAGTCCCGTCATCTCGAGAGCCAAAGTCACGTCCTTGCTGGTGTTTTTGATGATCCCGTGCTTTTGAAAGACACCATCCAAGCGCTGGAGCGTTTTGATGCCTCTCTCCCGGTCTCGATGGAAAAGAAGAACATCGTCCGTGGCCACTGCACCCAGCTCATCTTGCGACAGCGGCAAAGGCTCATCCAAACTTAGGATGCTATCCATGGTCACGCCAGCCTTGTGTAAGCATCCCAAAGTGTTTGCCTGGGCTACACAAGGTGACCAGCTGAAGCCCATGGGCCAGACAACGTTGACAGGGTACAGGAGAGTGTTGGGAAGCAACGTCACAGCGCCATCAGTGCAGGCCCGCACCTGCGCGAGCGTCAGACCACTCCGGCGCAGCTCTTGTACAGACACTGGTGGCTGCCCAAACCAAGGCTGCAACGCAGCAGGCACAGCCAGGCTGTCAAAGTAGGTGCTGGCATCTCTTTTTGACATCAGCAGGGTCTCCCCCTGAGCCACCAGGATGTCCAGAAAAGAGCTCGGATTGGCAAGCCTGGATGGTTTAGGCGGAGCTGCGGCAGCCTCACTTAACGCTGAACCATCCCAGATCTTCCTTTGCCTGTTTTGGGCCACTTTCGGAGCTGCAAAAACAGTTGCCATACCTCGTATGTCAGGGCGCAACCGGAGCTTGCCACATAGAAGTTCGCGCGCCGTCAAGATGATGTATTGCTGCCGCGCGAGCCCAACTGGCAATGCCGCAGCGTCCACAGTGATCGATGCGTCCTGCGGAAAGACGATTGAAGCATCTGAAGCCATGTTCCACAGCTGCGCAGGCACCAACTTTGACGGGTCGCAGGTGGCAGCAACACGGGGAAGGTCAACATCATGTCCGCGCACTGGTTCGTAACGGTAAGCCCCATGCTCTTCATACAGCGCAAAGGCTCCGTCGACCTCAGCCTGCTGACCCCACACGGAGTCCAACCTGTGAGCGAGCTGAGCAACACGAAGCACCACATGACGCTGCACGGACCGCTGGGCGCGCGTAGGCATTCTAGGCGTAGTCCATGTAGCTGGCGCTTGCTGCGGCATTCCATGGCAAAGATGGTTGAGAGCTGACAAACAGAGATTCGCCAAGAGGAGGCTGGCACTCGAGCTCGGTGTAGCCACATCAGCAGGCCACTCTTGCAGTCGCGGCAAGGGAAAAACATCTTTGGTCGCAGGCGCAGCGTAGGAAGCCTTGAAACAGCTATCACGCTGATAAGGCGGTGCGGAACCAATCGCACGGGACCAAGTCGCCAGCGGCAGCATGGAGCTGGCCAAGAAAGTCTTAAGCACTGCACCAAAAGCCCCCAAACCTCCATGCTGCGACCCCTCTGACTCAGCAGGCTCACATGCCGAGCAAGTAAGCGTACTGGGTTGCGCTTCCCCACTCAGACTCAGGTGGCAGTTCAGCAAACGGCGTACCCCCAAAGAAACTCTCAACCTCAGCATCCGGCGCCTGTTTCTAGCACGACGTGCTGGTGAACAGGAGGTCGTAGGGCATTCCTTGTGCAACCTACCCAGTGCGCAGTTATGTCCATTCCCTTTGGGCGGCAAACCACGAACTGACATGAGCGACCAGCTCCCAAGTGCTAAAATTCCAGCCTCCACCGCAGCGGACCAGAGAAACATTTAAGAGCATGGCGGCGCCCCACAAAGAGGAGCTGAAATAATGATTGGGCCACATGCCAATCCGGACGACATGCAGCTGCGCATTCAAGTGTCCTGCCTACGAGTTTTCACAGGCAGACAACTCTCCTGCAGGCACGCTCTGTCAAGAATCTCCCCTTCAACCCCTAAACCCTAAACCCTAAACCCCCTAAGCCCCTATCTTTAAGCCCCTAAACCCTAAACCCTAAACCTAAACCCTAAACCGGCTATTTGCAGCACCGGCCACCTGGCTTGGGAAGTGCGGGGATCGCTGCAGAGAAGAACAGAGCGGCAAGGCTCCAGACCAAAATCACGAAAAGCTCCTTTGAGGCTGAGTACCCTATGAATTATAGTAGGATTTTTACCCTAAACCCTGCCCTATGAATTATACTAGGATTTTGACCCTAAACCCTACCCTATGAATTATAGTAGGATTTTTACCCTAAACCCTAAATCCTAAACGCCAAAAGGTTAAAGTTTGCCTACTCAGCACCTAAGGCTCCGCTACAGGAGACTCATCCAAGTAGGCCGCTGTGCTCCGCGCCAGCGGCTGACCGCACTCGTAGTACCTCGGATAAAAACCCTAGGATTCAGGGTTTAGGGTTTAGGATTTAAGGTTTAGGGTTTAGGGTCTAGGGCTCAAGGTCCTTGCCAGGGGATGCGGTGTTAAACTGTTAGGTAGCTTTGGGGCATCAGTGGCCTTACGCTGTCTACTTAGAGGATCATGGGACTTAGTAATGACTTACTAAGTCCCATGATCCTCCAAGTAGCACCTGGCCTACAGGTTGAAACATGCACGTCTAGCTCTAAAGCTGCGCCCGTTCTCGTCGGCACTCAATCTAGGGGCCTTAAGATTTAGAATAGTTTTGGGGCCCATTATACTATAAATGTAATACGGGCCCCCAAATAGTATAGGTAATGATGCAGGCCTGTATATTAATTGCTACAGGTTTCGCAACGAAACTCCCAAATGATTTTGAAAACGTCTCTGAACATCGCTAAAGTCTTGGGCGACGTGATGGCCGATGATCAGCCACGGCACCGTGCTCCATGGAGGTACGTCGGCAACAGCAGTGCACAGATGGCCGCAATCCACAGCGAGAGCCGCAGGCTCTGCAGAAACGACCCGTGGATGTTCAGAGCGGTCACCTTCTGAGCAGGGATACTCCAAAGTACCTATGGAGTAGAATGTAGGGGGTTTAGGGTTTAGGGGTTTAGGGTTTCGGGATTACTAGTATGATTTGGGGAAGTATCCCCCGCAACAGAACTACCCACATGCCCTAGAGCTGTCTGCCCTGAGCGCTTGAAGCGTTGCTGGCTGCCTGAATCAGACAGAACATGTCTGTGGTGGGGTCTTACCATGCAGAAAAGTGTTTGGAGCCCTTCGACAGCAAATGCCGTTTGCTAAAGGCATACCAATCTCATGTCCTGGTGCCTGTGTACTTCGAGCGCTGGTTTGCCAAGATTGGCAGTAGAAGTAGATGACCCCAGTCCCCAGGATTGCCACTGGCAAGCCTGCCAATACAAGCATGTTTCCCCACCAGATCTTGCTTGATACATACAAGAAGTCCTGCAATTCCGCTGGGCTGACCCAGTTTGCAGCGATGGGGCCCCCTAGACCAACCATGTTGCCCATCACCACCGTGGCCTGCACCGGCCGCCCGTACATTTCCAGGCGTTCCGGCAATTGGCAGCTGAGGCGGTTCCCGTGCAGCGTGGCCTTCGCGCCGTCGGGCAGGCTGAGTCGGGGTACAGTCCCAGAGAAATAGTTACCGTGCACTGTGAGCCACAACATCTTCGTCATGTTCTCCAGGCTGCTGGGCAGCGATCCCCGGAACCGGTTCTTGTGCAGGGTCAACGCGGCCATTCCTTCCGCATTCCTCCAGCGCTCAGGCAACTCGCCCTCCAAAAAGTTCCTGTGAAGCAGGAGTATTCTAAGGCGCGGAAGCTGCTCACCAATTTCTTGGGGGATCTGGCCGGTGAGCTGGTTCTCAAAAAGAAGCAAGGACTGCAAGCGATTGAGGCGGCCAATTGTCGCCGGGATCGGGCCACTGAGCCTGTTCCTGGCGAGATCAAGAGCGCTGAGGCTGGATAAATTCCCAACTTCAGACGGGATCCACCCGGTGAGCTGGTTGTCAGACGCGAGGAAGAAAGCTAAGCTTGTCAGGCCTCCGATCTCGCCCGGAATCGGTCCAGACAGGCTGTTAGCCTTACCGTTGGTTAGTAGGGAATGGAGGAATGGGGTACAATTATAGCGACTATTACTACCGTACTACTACTATATTACTATCATATTACTACCATATAACTACTATCCGTGGCGACAGTTCATAGATTATAGGTGATCTGCTCTGAGAGCTATTACTACCATTCTTCCATTCCCTACTAACCAACGGTAAGTAGCTTGAAGCTTTAGCATCTGCAGCTCAGCGAGTCGGCCGATGGTTCTCGGGATTGGCCCAGTGAGCTTGTTGTGACTCAGCAGCAGCGTGGCGAGGTGGATCAGCTTGCCGACCTCCTGCGGAATCTGCCCGGTAAGCTGGTTGCCGTCAAGGTCAAGGTACCTTAACCCGAAATTACCTACCTTTTCCGGGACTTCTATAAAGAAATCATCATATTAGGGGGCCTCTAAAAAGGTAGGTTCCTTGGGGTCCAGGTACAGAAGCTCTACTAGCTTGCCGATCTCAGTAGGAATCGCCCCAGTCAGCTGATTTCCACTGAGATCCAGGAATTGCAGAGCAGTGAGATTACAAAGCTCAAGCGGGATGTTGCCCTTCAGCTGCTGCTTTTTCCCAAAAATGCCCCAGACTCTTCCGTGCTCGTTGAGGATTACGAGAGATTTCGCCTCCCTGGCGCCCAAGTCTGAAAGAAGCCTGAACGCGAGGTCAACCTCTTCCTGAACGGCTGTGACTGAACACATGTAAACCGACAGGAGTCCAAGGAGAGTGGCCATGGCCGGAGGCTTCGGGGACTTTAGTAGTGGCTTTAGAGGCTTATGAGTACCATAACCCCCATTTGGGAGTTTCGGAAACAGGGGACCCTAATATAGTACCCTAAATAGTAGGATCCTTGTTACAAGGACCCCAAAATAAGGTACCCCCAATTTTCGGAAACTCCCATTTCGGATCCCTGTTAGGAGGTTTCAAGCCGAACATTAGAAAAAGCCCTTTTGGGCCTTAAAGTCGCTGTAGATGGGAAGGTTTGGAGCTGCCTTACAGTTGAGCCGACCGTGAGTTTTCGGGTGTAGGGGTTTAGGGCTTAGAGTTTAGGGTTTAGGGCTTAGGGCTGCGAGTTTGGGGTTCGGGGTTTAGGGTTTAGAGTTGAGAGTTGAGGGTTTTGGGTTTTGGGTCGAAAGTTTAGGGTGCTTGAGCCTGCAGCAAAGTCGGCGAGCATGTGGAAGTCTGACTGACCACACTCCGAATCAAACATGCTAGATCCGAGCAGGCCATCGACCAAGCCTGGCGGTGTGTACTACACGGGCCTCGATTATTGGAATAGGGTTTTCGGACTACAATATGCCCGAGACCCTTTTCGAATTTTCGAATTGCCCAAGCCCTGCAAACCGAAAGTCCAGGCAAAATAGCGCCTGATGACTCCAGTTGCTCAAGACATCCAGCGTCCAGTCTACCTTGTCCTCGGGAAACATTTCGGCGTGCTTTGAGGTCTCAGGATTTAGGGTTTGGGGTTTAGGGCTCAGGGTACCAGAATTGTGTCTCAAGGATTCGATGAAAGTCCTATAGCGAAACGGGGTCTTAGAAGAGTTCTATAGAAGTTCCTAGAGACTCCAATACCCCTTAATTAAGGAATATACCTTAAAGTATAGTAGGATCCCTAATATGATTTAAGGGTATATTCCTTAATTAAGGGATATTGGAGTCTCTAGAAGTTGTCCTGGGCCTCAAGCCTTTAGCACCGTCGGGGTCTCTGAGCTTACGGTTTTCAGGCTCAGGGCCTACCTAGACCCCCCAAAGTAGGTAAAAATAATGGCCAAAAACTGTAAAAGGCTATTGTTCTACATAGTTTTGGGGCAAGAAGTTCAGAGTTTCGAAGTGCGCGGGCCCCTCGGATGAAGAACTTTAAAGTGTCTTCTCAGTTCAGGGATTTAACGCCCTGGAGCCTGAACCCGAAGAAGCACCCGTATGTCAAGGACCTCCTTCAAAAACCCAAGATCCGTTTAAACACCCTTACCGAACCGCTATGCAGCCCGGTCTAGGGTTTAGGGCTTACATGGGAGTTTCCGAATATAGGGGACCCTAATATAGTACCCTAAATACTAGGACCCTTACTATAAGGAGCTCAAAATAAGGTACCCCTATTTTCGGAAACTCCCACATGGCAACCGAGGACAGTTCCCTTCCTGCCATTGTCTTTCGCGCTTATGAATCGACCCCAAGGTCGTACACATGGAAAGTTGGGCCCCTCAAGGGATCTAAGCGGGCTTTCATAGGATTTCTATACGGGTAATATAAGGGTGGTTCAGGTTCTCTAAAGTAGGGTCCCGTTTAGGGTCCATCTTATATGGGTGCCGTAACAACCGACTACGACGACAAGAGGGGCACGATGATGAAGATAATGATAGTGATAATGATGCTTCGTAGGACGATTCGCACAACTGCCCAGTTCGTCTTGCCTATGTATATCTTTCGACTCTCGTATTAGTGTTTCGCCCGGTGTTCGGAATATTCGTACACTACTGTTCCGACCTGTACCGCCTTTGCCTTGCTTGATTACGGCCTCTGTGTATACCAAGGATGATGACTCTTGTGCTCTGCAATTAGGTACTTCTCTCTCATGAACCTCCATCGTCTGCTCTGTATTCCGATTCCTCTCGCTATTTTGCCAGGTTCTTCTTATCGATCCTGTTTCGTTTAGTCGTTATCTAAATGCGTTCTGCGAGCCCCCAAACCCAAACCCCCGTCCTCACGCAGCGGAGCAAGAAGCACCTGATGCTTCTTCTGCTGCGGCACAAGCAAGGTTTGGAATCGGTTGATCCTTCTTCTGATTGTGACTGAGACATTAAACGCGCAACGCTCACTGCTATCCGTGATGCACCAGCAGTAACGCACGTGGAAATCATCACCAACACACAACCAGGGGCGAGCGCCTACCGTCGTTTCATCACCGTCATCACTGCAACTACATCGCTGCATCAGCGGATCCCCAGTCAGCGTGGGCATCATCGTTCCAAACATCAACACTGTGATCATGATCAAACTCAATTTCATCACCGTATCATATCAGAAGTTGACATAGACTTTGTGCTAGGAGTAGTGCTGACAGTCTCACCCAGGATGTCATGCGAACGCAACCATGCCTTTGTCGCTTACACGCACGCTTGCTATAGCTGCGGTGTGCTAGCTGGCTGAGCGATCTCTACTACCAGCGTAGATATCTTGCACCGCCACTACTGCCCCTCTGCCTGTTCGCAACAGTGACAGCTGTGGATGTCCCCGTCCTCCTCCTCCTCCTCCTCCTCCTCCTCCTCCTCCTCCTCCTCATTCTCCTCGTTCTCCTCATTCTCCCCATCCCCTCGCTCATCCTCATCCTAATCCTCGTCGCGGTCTTACACTTGCTGTCAGTCTGCACCTCCATTTCTTCGTCTTCAAAACACACCACCATGGTGAAACCAGCACCGTCAACATCATCAATCTCGGTGTAATGTCCATCAGCATGTTAAGAGGCTGTCAACATCTCTAGCGTCATCGAGTTAACCAGTGCCGTTCACCGTGATTGTCGTCACCCTAATCATCACATGTCTCACTGCTGTCCTCATCGTCAACATCCCACGCATCCTCTGGTCGTGATCTCCTTCATCATCAACATCAACATCAACATCAACATCAACATCAACATTAGCGATGCCCATTATGGCCGTAATATAGAGGCCTTAATAACTAGAAGAGTGTTTTGGGCCCCAAAGTCGCTTTGGTAGTGGCTAAGGCCCCTACTTGGAGGATCATTGGACTTAGTAAGTAAGGTTATGAGTACCCTAATTGGGGATATAAGTATAGTTACCCTAATCAAAACCCTAGTTACTAAGTCCCATGATCCTTCAAGTTTCAAGTATATTTCTGTTGTCGTTGCCCGGAAGCAGGAAGCCGAGGAACTGTGAACGGCTGGTCGCGGGTGTTGGCAAGGAACTTCCTGCCTTCGGGTGCGAGGATGTCTGATCGAGGTCGAAATCCTAAAAATCCTTAAGCCCCTACCAAAACCCACAAAAACCCTACACACCCTGAACACCCTAAAAAACATAAGAAACCTAAAAAGGAACCCAAAAAGGCCTAAACCGAAACCGTGAGGATTCTGTTGCTGCGGCTTGCAGGCATTCCAAGGGAAGGTTCACCTTCAGCCTTCAAGCCTTCAGCCACGTCTTGCAAGAAGCAATGGGCGGTGCCACACCGCAGACCCTAAACCCTGAGCCCCGAACCCTAAACCCCAATCCCTAAACCCTAAACACTAAGCCCTAAACCCTAAACCCGAACCCTAAACCCAGGCACACACCCCAAGTAATAACACTCGAACATCACTCAGGGACCCTGAAAACTCTGACCCTAGCTTCTATGGTTTTCTCGGTTATAGAGAGAGAGAGAGAGAGAGAGATCCTTGAATACGAACCAAAGTAAGATCCTTAACAATGCTGGCTTGGACTTTGTTGGACCATCCCAAAACGCTCTCGGAAAAGAGCACTTTGAATCAACTCGGAGGAGGTTGAGCGTTTTAGGATGTAGGTTTGCCTTTTCGGGTTCAGGGTTTGGGGTTTAATAGGGGTTTAGGGTCTAGGGTTTCGGGGTCCGAGGCTTAAAGCTTAGGGTGCTAAAACACCGCTCTGGCCCACACCCTAACCGGTCCAACACCAAGACCACTCCAGGACCGTCTTGAAGCGAATCCAAGGCCACTGCAACACCAAAAGGATCGCCCGAAAGGCAACTCCAGCCGATGCGTAACTGCCCCATTTGGCAACTCCACTCAACTTGCACTGTCAGAAGATCCAAGGGTAGAAGGAGGGACCCTTAATAAGGACCCCTAGGTATATACCCTTAATATAGCTATTATATACCCATTATATAGCCCATTATTGGGCAGGGGTCCCCATTAAGGGTCCCTCCTTTTCCCCTTTAAGAAGACCGATGGCGCGACCCTGTCACCCCAAATCTGAACTCTGGGGACATGAAGTCCCATTTAACCGAACACCCGGCGCCAGAGTTCGACCTACCACTAGGAAACTACAAGCCTCGAGCTCAAAGTATGCAACCATTGAAACCACTCCGAACCCCAAACCCTAAACCCCAAACCCTAAGCCCTAAACCCTGAACCAAAACACAAAACCAAAAACCGAGGGGCTTCGGGCCTAGCCTTGAAGAGCTTCAGGTGCCGCGGGCTTGTTTTCGAACCCGAAACCCTAAACCCCGGTTTTTTATTTTTTTCCTGGGTTTGGGGTTGTTTTCTTGTTTTCCTGTGTTTGGTGTTTTTTTCTTTTTTCCGGGGTTTGGGTTTTTTTTCTTTTTTTCCGGGGTTTGGGGTTTGAGGGTTTAGGGTTTAGGTGCAGGGATACCCAAACAAAACAACAAAAACACCTCAACACCCCATCCTTCCAACCCGGACCTCGGAGCCTCCGACGACGACTAAGGGGGGTCGTGTCGATCAGGATAGGGTTTATATGTTTACAGGCAGAACAGCCAGAATGCAGACGCATATTTTCTTGAGCCAATGAACGACGGTAAGTACGGTCGACTAGCTACATCTTCCACAAAATACACCCCCCGCGCATCTTAGTGCAACGGTGGAGGCGAAGGCGATGGAAGGAAAGACTAGTCGCTAGACCGTCGAAGATGTATCACTTTGTGATAACGAAAACAACTCGAAAACAAGAGTAAATTATGCGGCCTTTTCTCGCGCCCTTGCAGACTGTACGAACTGGAC